ACCTCAGCCTCCCAAAGGTGCAGGATTACAGGCTGAGCCACTGAGCCCGGCTGTTTTTGATTTATTGTGGAGACAAGTTCTCACCAAGTTGCCCAGGCTTGTCTCGAATCCCTGGACTCAGGTAGTCCTCTCACCTCGTCCTCCCAAAGTGCTGGGATTACAGGCTTGAGCCACCGTACCCAGCCTAAAGACCAATTCTTTCTACCTCTGTCTTTCACTTTTAGAATATCTAGCAGAAAGCCAGGCATGGCTTTCTAGCAGAAAGACAGGCTCACAGCTGTAATCCCAGCACTTTGGGAGACTAGAGGATTGCCTGAGCCCATGGGTTTGAGACCAGCCTGGGCAACATGGCAAGACCACGTCTCTACAATAAATCAAAAATTTAACTGGTGGTGCACTCCTTAGTTCCAGCTACTAGGAAGGCTGAGGTGGAAGGATCACCAGAGCCCAGCAGGTCAACAGTGGGGTGGCCGTGAGCATGCCACTGCACTCCATCCTGGGATATAGAGTGAGAGACTCCAACTCAAAAATAAAAATAAAAGGAATATCTAGTAGGCTGGGCACAGTAGCTCATGCTTGTAATTCTACCACTTTGGGAAGTTGATGCAGGAGGATTACTTGAGCCCAGGAATTTGAGACCACCCTAAGCAACGTAGTGAGACCTCATCCCTACAAAAAAATCAAAAAATTAGCTAGATGTGGTGGCATGCACATGTAGTCCCAGCTACTCAGGAGGCTCAGGTAGAAGAATCACCTGAGCCAAGGAGGTTAAGGCTGCAGTGAGTTGCAATTATGCCACTGCACACCAGTCTGGGCACCAGAGTGAGAGAGACTGCAACTCAAAATAAATAAATACATTGAAATTTGTTTTTAAAAATTGAGCAAATAGCAGCAGAAAGCTGAAAAAGAGGGGAAAACGCCAATCCTATTCCTCAAGGAATTGATCTTTCATACAATGAGCATGAACTTAATAGTAAATAAGTATAACACACATATAAGGTAAAAAGTGGGGACACAGAGGAGAGACAGACCATATGTGCCAATGGTCATCAGAGAAGGAGATAACTGAACTGTCC